GTTAAAAGTTTTGGAACCTTCACTGGCTCTTCCCCCTCACCTATCTACGGGAATTTGCTTCCTTCACTTCCACCTCTCCCTTCCTACCACCCTGACCGGGCTGTGAACACTGTCTTCTGGTTGTGTGACTCCAATATAATACAGAATTTATATGGTATTATTCCAAATTTTCTGAGATTAAAATTCTTCTCCCACATTTTTTTTAAATTCATGTTCACGGTTTTCACCCTACTGGTCCGGCTGTTTAACACGACAAGGTGAACACGATAATCGGAAACAATCATACAAATAGACATTTAAATTTATTGATGAAGTTGGTCGATATGTTAGGTAAGCTTCTGTGTAGTAACGAATCATTAACGGAGTAACAAGGGTGTGGATGCTAAACGGGTGCCATTACCTCGTGTTCCTCCACCAGCCTACGATATCGACCCCCTTGCTGCCTTTCTTGTGTCAGTGTACGTCAGTCAATTACTATGACAAGTTGCCAATATGAGATTATTACTCATATCTTACCGGAGGACCTTGGGGAGTATTTATGAGGCTGATGTTCAATTTTAACCACGATGACATACCGGATTCGGGTTTATGTCTTGGTGATGCTTAACACTGAGGTACAGTATATAGCCGGCGGGAAGAACTCCAGAAGATTAGGAACTCCAGTTTATTTCACGTGAAGATTAAACTCCCTGACGCTAAATGGGATGGTTAGGTTAAGTTGGATTTGGTCAGCATCAGTGTTTAATCATCAGGTGAAATAAGCTGGGATTCTTAATTTTCATGGCCTAACCTAACCAATCTCATTTAATAAAAAAAAAGAAGTTTGCCATCACGCGAGGATTTCAGCGAGCCATCCTGATCTGACGTGAAGGAGTTACTGCTGTGAGAAGGAACCCCCTCCACCCCCGATAAAATCCTGGAACTACACTGACGACTTAAAAATTTATACCAGTACTTACTACTTAAAACACGATAACTATGTTGGGAGATGACACTTACTTAACCCAGTATTGATGGTTCTGGGCAGTAAGTGACACTCACCTGTAGAGTCACAGATGATGTAAGCGTTGTAGAAGCCTTGATGGTGGATGTAATGGGTGATGAACTGAGTGAGGTAATGTGGCTCGTTCTCACGCCCGCCCACCACCAGCACGCTCATGCACACCATTAATATTAGTTTCATTTTTGTCTAATGGGCCAGATTCCTGTATGTTAGGAGCTCCCGGGACGAGGAGGTCGTCTTTGTGTGTGACGTCGCTCGTGTATTAAGAACCCGGGTCTATGACGATGTCCGTCTATGGGAACGTATCTCGTGTGCTAGGACCTGGAGTTAGTAATTCGTCTATTTGCTAGCTAGGATATAACTCTATGGTGAGATATAACGCTTGATGATAACGGCGGGTATTCAAATGAAAAGTTGTTCCGGGGAAGAGTATTACCCTCTTTTGGGGGCTGAATTAACTAGTCTTGTAAGGTGTAGGTCGATTCTTTTAGGGAGATAATTATGTGACCATGATTTTATCATGAGAAAACAACAGTGTCAGTTAGCAGGCGAGCCCCAAACGCACAACTACTCTTAAGACTATCACTTCTATCGCCAGCAGTGGTTAAGATGACCACTAGCGACTTAAGACTGCACAGGAGAGCCAATGGCTGTAGCTACGAGGTTTCCAGTTGACTTGACTGACGCGTGGGCTCTACGTAACTGCCGTGACTGGTTTGTGAGGCGCAGGGTAGAGTGACCGAGTGTGCGGCGCGTGTAAAATTAATCGACAGTGAGTGAGGATTGGCACTCTATTCCTTGGGTTTTTTTCTATAAATATTATATTAATTTCAAAGCACAGAATAAAAATCTGGGATGATTACAGGATAATTCCCCGTCTAACTGTTATGTGCCAAATATCTGCTGTTAGACTAAAATATACCCGGGCGTTCTTAATTTAGGCTCACGGTCACTGTCACTCATGGCTGCTGTCAGTCATGATCACTGGCACTCGCGGTCACTGTCACTCGTGGCCGCTCTCAGTCATGGCCGCTGTCACTCAAGGTCACTGTCACTCACCTCAGTACATCATTACACTCCCGACCACTAATCGTTAAATGCACTAAACTGTTCTTTTGTGTCCCTCCACTGTTTGATAATTCCAACAATTATATGTCATTATGGATCTCCATCTTGGAGTGTTATGTGAGTTAGTGTCACATAAACTACATTAAATCGGGTAGATGTCTCGGGTTTAGGAATGACTACTGTATTATTGGAGTCTGATATGTGCCACTGGAGACTGAGTTATGGTTTTATTGGTCTGTAAATTAAAGGGAATTGGATTATTACCACCAGTACAGGATCCGCCTATTAGTGTGGGGTAATTTATTCTGAGTATGTATGTACGTGTGTGTGTGATGCGTCTAGTGCGGTAGTGTTAAGTTAGTGTTAAGGTTCAGCTCTACTTGCTACTCTTAGGCTTTCAACTGCTGCCGCCGGCTAGCCCTTGTGGTGAAAGGGGGAGCCTAGTGCATCACGGAGCAGCAGTGGGCCTCAGAGGTACGGTGTGCAGGCCTGCCGGTGTGGTGACGCGCCCTGACGTGTACTAACCACTGCACCCCCCCCCCCGACCCCTCCCTCGTGTATCATTTGAAAGCTCGCAATTCATTATTCTCTTATATAATTATTTTAGAGTATTGCTGGGCTCGGCGTGGGTGTTATTCTCTGTCTTGTGATTTTAAATAAAACACTCACACATACACACACTATCACGAGTTACCACCATCAGCTAACTATATAATACACTGGAGACAGTCGCTGACCCACAATCGGCTGACCCGTGACCTTTAATATAATCACTTTAATCTAAGAACTAAATAAAGATTATAGGACAAGCATGACAACTTATTCCGTCAAACCTGTCATATTACTGGCATGGATACTGAGAGATTCATCAACTGTTACCCCGGTACTGGGTAGTGGGGATTCTCCTCCGTATGATTTAATACAACAATAACTCACAGTCCTGATACAAATATTGGCGTAGTAATGATAGTGTAAACAACTGCGCCTTTATAGTTGCGCCTTCCTCCAGCGTCTTGTGTGAGGGACCCACCCGGCACTGTACACCCTCCATGCCCCGCTCGGGTACCCCCCCCTCACCCGCATTATTAATGGGTATAAAACCCATACTTACAAAGTCCCTATATTAGGTATGCATAATGCCACACAAGATAATTACAATGAAATACATTTTTTAATAAATTAATACAAACAAAAGCAACACAAGTATTGTGAAATACCTTAATAGTGCCAGCGTTACTTAGCAACAGTCCGCACCAACATGACCACTGGCACTGGGCGGGTTGTGTTGGGGCGGTAGGATAACATCACTTGGTACATCTTGTTCCATATTTTTTTGTTTTTGTTGGCCACCCCCCTACATCCTTGTGTAAGGTGAAACGCAGAAGCGTTTACAGCTCCCAACAGGGAAGCATGCTAAGTTCATGCTTGCCTTTATGTCTCATGAGTTAAGGGCGTAGAAACCTGAAGAGTCAATGGTTTATGTCTAAGCAAGTTATTGGAAGCTCCAACAACTTTCCCTGAATATGAATTCGCAACTTTCGATTTACAGCAGGTACCTACTTTACTGCTAGGTGAACTGAGACCAAGGGAGGCTGGGAAGTGTGTCCGAACAACACTCCACTGGCCCGGGAATCGAACCCGTGACATCTCACTTGCGAGGCAAGAGCGGTACCGGCGCCCCCTTGATCCATATAATTTTATAGTCCGCTTTATGGACTTCGGGGTCATCACTCTGTGTCGCGTCGTGTAACTGGGTGAGTCAGATGGTCAGTGTGGATATGAGCTCTCAATTCTGGGTCACACAATGGAACTTCAGGAGTGTACTTTACATCATCAAACCGTAAATCACCGAAACTCCGAAGTCCTAAATTTGGCTTAGATGTCCGGTTTGTGGTCACCATGAGGGAGCATTAATCTAAATTAATAAATAAAAAAAAAATTCACTTACAGCGGCTAGTTTACTGTGCAAGAGGTCCAAACGGTAGAGTTCACGAAGGGCCTGTATAACAAACCCAGTGGTCAAGGTATTATGACATTGAATGTTAGAGCATTTCAAAAAGATTCTTTGTTTAGTTCTATACATAGAGGGTAACTTATTCGTAACTGCGTGAGTACAGGCGTGTGAGGCAGTATGTCTGGCAGCACACTTTGTTATTCACATTTACGTGAAAGGTATTCAAGCACATTGTGTGCTTGGTTCTATACATGGGAACTGATATAGCTTCTTGGTGTAAAAAGGTGATACAATCTTAATATGTCGGCTATCTTGCCATGAGAGATAAAGAAAATGAGGGAGCAGGTTATGGCTCCAGAGTTGCTCCTGACGCTGTGCTACACGACACGGCCCGGCAGCACCACCTACCACAGATAAATTCCCTACTGGTTGAAATCTTCCTTGATATGCTTCTACACGCTTATGTATTGAGCTTCCTGCCTCACTGAGTCTCCAAACGTCCTACCTTCATCTGTTCAGCCGATAGTTCTTGTTTTATCGGAGTCTTTTCATATCTCTTTGGACTCGGTTAAGAATCCCGTTGGTCCAGTACTGACGTGTTCCTGCTGTATGGTGTGTCCTCTACCATGTTATTTTCTTAGACCTTGTAATAATGTCTAACTATATAGCTGTATGTTCATAATTGTTTGTCTATGGTGTTAATGAGTTTAGGTCTTAGTTTATTGCATAGCAGCCATCGAGTTTTCACAAGAGCGGGTGGTTAATAAACAAAATTTTTGATAATTTAGCAACCTGTGTGTGTGTCAAATGTTACACACACACACACACACACACATACATACATACATACATACATACATACATACATACATACATACATACATACATACAGATTTGATCGGCAGGTTATCAGCGGAAGATCACTCCAGCACGTTGGGGGCCGCTGCTGCCTGCGATAGTTTCTGCCTGTCGGGATGAGTGACGCTGTGCGGCATTCACTACTGTGTCTCTCACAACACCAGGTGGAACTCATAAAGCTTAGAACATGGTTGTGTTGTATAGAAGAGGTGGTTCTGTGTCGTCACTGAGGTGGGCGTCTTCTTAGGTCTCAAAGTGTTGGAGCCTTACAGTAGTTTAAGAGGCCCTGCTGATATTACGAAGATGACTGGTGAAAGTTGATCAGGATACGAGTGTCCCAAGAAAAGAAAGTGTCTGTTACATGATTTATTCAAGTATGTGTGTTTGATTTCACGGGTGAGAATCGTCGAACATATCGTCAATGATATCGGCTCCGTGTAGATTTTTGACTTACTAGAGGAAGGTTGACGGCCGCAACACTAACAGCACCGTTCCTTGTGAGTCTGGAGTCCCGCGGTCAACATTAAAAGGCGACGTACAGCAACACAAACAACTACCCATGTTCCGCACGTCACCAGTACAAGACGAGGCATCATGAAGGTTCACCCTATGACACCGTCAGTGGGCACGAGCCCTCGGACCACACATGGTGAGCCACATACCGCCACAGAGGGAGACGACAACATCAACACCGACAACTGTGTGGACGTGGTGGAACTGAAGAGAGAACTGGGGCTTCTGGACTGCATCTCTGTCATAATTGGCATTGTGTCTGGGTCTGGCATCTTCATCAGTCCCCGCGGGGTGCTGGAGTACAGTGGCAGCGTGGGTTTGTCTCTCTTGGTGTGGGGGCTGTCGGGTCTCGTATCCCTCATCGGTGCCCTCACCTTCACCGAGCTGGGTCAGTGACGGCAGGAAGTTTTTGGGTGATATGAGTCGTGTTGTGTTCAGTGTTAACATGTGCCTTCCTGTGTCCTTAAGTGATATAGTAAGTGCTTCAGTGTCCTCCACCTCCGGTCCTTCTTTAACCTAACCTATAATCTACAGATGAGGTCAAGTTATACCTTGGCAGGTTCTGTGAATCATATCCCTTTATATCACCCTTTATCATCAGGTTCGGGAACACAACACTCGTCACGAGGCCCAGGTAACGTAGAAAACACCTGTATGTTAGTTTAATATCAGATTATTATAGTATTTGGCTGTGGGGTAATTATAATTTAGTTAATTGCCTGTTAGAAGTATCAAGACCTTTTTAGGCCAAGTTGAAAGAATGACTGGACGTACATGAGGAGACAGTGAAGGAACTAATTAGTCTGCCATCTTAAGACTTCTCCTCCCGCCCAAAACGGAGGAAGAAGTCAGAAGGTGTGGCAGGGTGGCGAGAGGGAGTCTTGATATTTTAACCATTTGAGTGTGTACAGTACATTTAAATTGGTCTATAACACCGCTAGAGCATAAAAATTATACAGTTTTGTAAAGATTTTATCTTACTCTAACCTAATATAGTTTGTAATTACTTAATTTAATCTAACCAAACCAAATCTAACTTAACCTAACCTAGCTAAACATCATTTAACATAACGTAACTCAATGTAACGTAACACAACGTAACCTAACTTAATCCAACCAAACCCAACCCAACCTAGCCTAACTTATAACCTAACCCAGGCATGGACATTGGCTTGTAAACTCACACAAGTTAAAATGTCTATAATGTTGACTATATACAGTATTACCCTGACTTCTCATTTACGCGGTACCTTGCCAGAACCTGACTTTCACTAGGACTTTCACTTTTCGAGGTGCATCTGCTCATATACACGGTGAAGTATAATTTTTTTTTTATTTAGCTCATAAAATTCATACAAATTACCCGGCCAGAATATAATTTACATTGCTGGAATTCTTACAATATGATGATCATTTTGAATATAAACATCATGGATTTTGCATTAGACATACAAATTTTAGATCTAATGTAATAATTTGGTTTACACAAAGCAAATATTTTATCTTTTGTGCAAAATATATGAAGTTTACATTCAAAATATTCCCTGACCTGCAAGGAATCCAGAAATGTCAATTATATTATCCTAACTTTAGTCTGAGGTATTATTTATTACTAAACGTTAAAATCTAGTGTTTTCACCCAAACATTTCTCAGAGAGGTAGGAGCTAGTGAGCTGGGAAGAGGGGGGAGGGATTTGAGTCCATTAGTTGAATGGACATTAACCTGGTGACTGTATTTCTCTTAAATATTAATTGTGTGAGCATACCATTATAAAATTAAGATGTTATTTTTACTACAACATAGGTATTGTGTCGGAAAAAGTGGAGTTTGGGGGTTGTGCCAGTCTCTATTGGAATTAATCCCATATGTTCTGTTGTTCACTTTACGCGGTTTTCACTTTCCGCGGTACCCCGTGGGTTCAATTGACCACGTAAATCGGGGTACTACTGCTATACTTATTTCACTGTTACATTTTCGTCGTTATTTACTCTCAGGTGATGCCACAGTAATGAATTGTGTGTGAATATTCTTTTAATAAATATTGCTTCACTCGTCATAAACTGGATGCATCTACCTAATCCGTGGCCCACATTAATTATAATTTCACAATCACTCTGTGGGCCGCACAGAAACATGGTTGAGGCCGCACGCCATCTCACGGGCCGCGGGTTGCCTATACCTGACCCAAGGCTTGATCTAACCTAATCTTCTCCCCGGCCACAGCCACCATGATGCCGGAGAGTGGCGGGATGTACACCTACATCCACACCGCCTTCGGGCCTCTGCCAGCCTTCGTTTACCTCTGGACAGCTCTCATCATCGAGGAGCCCACCATGAGGGTCATAGATGCCTTCACCTTCGGCACCTATGTCCTCCAACCCTTCTTCCCCTCTGACCCTCCACAAGTCCCCGTCAGACTGCTCGCTGCCGCTCTCATACGTGAGTTACTATAGGGGTCACGTTTGTGTGTGAGCAACTCTGGTCTAGTGTGTCAGCAAACCTGGCTGCTCCCTGGCTACTTCAGTAGCTGATGGCTGACGGGGGTGAAAGTCTCTAGTGTCTGCAGAGTCCTTCTGTACACACGATCAGAATGTTTTTCAGTAACTTGAATTATCGTTGGCTGCCTCCATGATGAAAATTTAAAATTAATTAGTTGAATTGCATTAAAACAAATTAGCAATTGCCTGCTAAAAAATACAAAATTGAAAGTATTTAATAATTCAAGAAAATGTGCTAGTTCGAGGCAAAATATTTATTTCAAAGAACAGGAATAAATTCTTGCAATACCACCAGAGTAACTTCATGCGGAAATTACTAGCTCAGACAAGAGCCTACAGTATACTTCTAGCGGATTCTTCTCTCGGTATCTACACTAGAGTCGTGTTATGCTATCATTAAATTGTTTACCCACAGTGTTGTCTACTGTCTCTAAAAAAATCCTCAAGACCCGTTGGTTTCCCTCCGTGTGGGGTTCCGGAGGTCAGGGGACGCATCTTCCTAAATCCTGGTTAAGATACCGCGAAAGACCTTAACTGAGTCTGTGCCAAGTGCTGTGTACAGGTCTGCAGAGATTCTGTCTTTGTCATCCGGGGTAGTTCAGGGCTGGCGATGATACGTATTGTCGGGTTAAAGGCAGTTTTGACTAAGCCACACAGCTCTGGCAATCAGTTTGATATACAACTTTGATTTCTTGTATGAACTGAATAATAAATACCGTCTTGGTTTATTTACAGCTGACAGTATAATGATGGTAATACTAGACGCCAGCATAACTATAATCAAGGGTCAATATTACAGAAACAACAAAAACAATAGTAAATAACCATAATTGAATATGTTATTACACTGGATAAATTAAGAAACAAATCACGTCTTGACGATTACGTAAATTAAGATAATATAAATGCATAGGTAGTACACATGTTACTATCAGTATCATCTGGACCCGATACACTGCCACACCCAGGTAATGTAACAAGCCAGTGATACGCAGTGATTGATAACCATTGTTTGTTTACTTTACCTACCCAACGTTATATTACGCCCGTAGTCCGCTGTACACCCTACCAGACCAATGTTTACATATAATAATACATAATCAGAAGTAAGATATATTAAGTCTAATGGTGATAAATACTCCCCGCCCGTCATTAAGAGAGGAGGAATATATACTGTATATTGCAGTAGGAAACAGTATCCCGCCAGATGTGGGTCAAAGTGCTCAAAATTCTCTCATCGTTATAGGCAGGTCAGTACAGTATTAAAATGATTAGATCACCTGAAGATTAGGCACCCTAGTTTATTTCACGTGATAGTCTAACACTAACCTTACTTGACCTAACCTACCTGACTTAACCAAACGTAACTAAACATAACCTAACTTAATGTAATCCAACCTAACCCACGCTAGACTATCCTGACTTAACCTAACCATACCTTCTTAACCTAAACATACCTGTTTAACTTAAGTCCCACCCACCACAAGATTGCACCAAGTTATTTAATCATAAAGCACAAATAAACTGGGGTGCCTAATCTTCATGTGAACCCAAACACCGCTAATAAGATCAACATTATAATAATTTATTGATCTATATTACGAAATGTATTCAGGGCTGATAAGAGACGGGGATAGGACAGCTTCAAGGGATCAACTAGGTCATCTGTAGTAACTCATGGTGCACAGTGACTCATGATGCACAGTGACTCATGGTGCACAGTGACTCATGGTGCACAGTGACTCATGAGTACTGGTGACTCCTGACTGTATAAGAAGGCAGTGTTAGTAATATATAGCCGCTTTTCAACAGTGTTCCTGGCGTGGGTCAACTGCCGGGGACTGAAGGGGTCTGTCAACCTGCAGGACGTTCTCATGATCCCAAAGGTGCTCATCCTCGGCAGCATCATTGGCGTCGGCTTCTACCAGTTGGCGACGGGGACCTCCTCCTCCACCAGCTACCAGGGCGACGTCTTCCAAGGCACCCGTCTCTCCGTCGCCGTCATCGCCACCGCATTCTACCAGGGTCTCTACACCTACGACGGCTGGTGGGTCCTCCTGGGTACTGTATTGATGGGGTGGAGGTATAGTCTTCTGCCTTCCACACACACCTCCAGGATAATACTCACACCAACCTAATCGTTTAGACTCTCCCCTTATGCTATCCGGATGGTTCTAACACACACACACACACACACAAAAGAACTCTCTCCCTCCTTACTCAAGAACCCTGAGCTCAGTCCTTCACAACATCTCACATCCTTTAGTAATTGCCCCCCAAAAAAAAACAAAAAAACAATCATTATGTAGATTAAAAACTAAAATATGTATAATGAATGGCGAAAAAAAAAGTCACTTAGTTTTCTTTTTTCTCTCTTGTTCACATGACTTCAAATAATCTACTCTCTCTCTCTCTCTCTCTCTCTCTTCTCTCTCTCTCTCTCTCTCTCGTTTTCTATCAAGGAAAATGACCGGTGACACGAACCTTATACCAGGTGTGGTGTGTGTGTGTGTGTGTGTAATAATCTGGTTCTCTTTCTCAGGGACAACCTCAACATGGTGGTGGAGGAGATGAAGGACCCAGACAGGTGAGTAGAAGCGTCTGTGCCATCAACCACCACTACCACCTGTACCATCAAGCACCACCACCTGTACCATCAACCACCACCACACCATGCCATCAACCACCACCATCATACCACCACCTGTACCATCACACCATCCTGTACCATCAACCACCACCACCTGTACCATCAACCACCGCCTGCCATCAACACACCACCTGTACCATCAACCACCACCACCACCACCTGTACCATCAACCATCAACCACCATCACATGCCATCAACCACCACCACCACCACCACCTGTACCATCAACCACCACCACCAACTGTGCCATCAACCCACCACCACAACCATCAGCCACCACCACCACCATCAACCACCATCTGTACCATCAACCACCACCTCCATCTACCATCAACCACCACCACCTGCATCAACCACCACCACCTGCCATCAACCACCACCACCACCATCAACCACCACCACCACCATCAACCACCACCTGTACCCTTCAACTACCACCATCCACCTGCACCACCACCACCACCACCATCAGCCACCACCACTACCACCATCAACCACCACCTGTGCCATCAACCACCACCACCACCATCAACCACCATCAACCACCACCTGTACCATCAACCACCACTTGTTGCCATCAACCACCACCACCACCTGTACCATCAACCACCACCTGTACCATCAACACACCTGTACCATCAACCACCTGCATCAACCACCACCACCACCACCTGTGCCATCAACCACCACCTGCACCCATCAACCACCACCACCACCTGTACCATCAACCACCACCACACCCATCAACCACCATCAACCACCACCTGTACCATCAACCACAACCTGCACCATCAACCACCACCACCATCCCAGCCACCACCACCACCTGCACCATCAACCACCACCACCACCACCACCGCCATCAACCACCACCACCACCATCAACCACCACCACCACCTGTACCATCAACCACCACCACCACCTGTACCCATCAACACCACCTGTGCCATCAACCACCACCACCACCTGTACCATCAACCACCACCTGCACCATCAACCACCACCACCACCTGTACCATCAACCACCACCACCACCTGTGCCATCAACCACCACCACCACTGCCATCAACCACCACCACCACCTGTACCATCAACCACCACCTGTACCATAAACCACCACCTCATCAACCACCACCACCACTGTACCATCAACCACCACCACCACCTGTACCATCAACCACCACCTGCCATCAACCACCACCACCCCTGCACCATCAACCACCACCACCACCTTCAACCACCACCACCACCTGTACCATCAACCACCACCACCACCTGTACCATCAACCACCACCACCACCATCAACCACCATCAACCACCACCTGTACCATCAACCACCACTGTACCATCAACCACCACCACCACCACCTGTACCATCAACCACCACCACCACCATCAACCACCACCACCATCAGCACCATCAACCACCACCTGTACCATCAACCACCACCTATCCATCAACCACCACCACCTGTACCATCAACCACCACCACCACCATCACCACCACCACCTATTTGCCATCAACCACCACCTGTTCCATCAACACCACCTGCATCACACCACCTCACACCATCACCACCACTGCCATCAACCACCACCACCACCTGTACCATCAACCACCACCACCACCTGTACCATCAACCACCACCACCACCTGTACCATCAACCACCACCACCTGTACCATCAACCACCACTACCACAACCACCTGTACCATCAACCACCACCACCATCACACCACCTGTCCCATCAACCACCACCACCACCACCACCTGTACACCATCAACCACCAACACCACCACCACCACCACCACCACCACCACCACCACCTGTACCACCACCCACCACCACCACCACCACCACCACCACTACCACTACCACCACCACCACCACCACCACCTGTACCATCCACCACCACCACCACCACCCCACCATCACCCCACACCACCACCACCACCACCTGCCATCAGCCACCACCACCACCACCACCACCTGTACCATCCACCACCACCACCACCACCACCTGTACCATCACCCACCACCACCACCACCACCTGTACCATCAACCACCACCACCATCACCACCACCTGTACCATCAACCACCACCACCACCACCACACCTGTACCATCCACCACCACCACCACCACCTGTACCATCAACCACCACCACCACCACCACCACCACCACCTGTACTCAACCACCATCAACCACCACCACCGCCACCACCACCACCACCACCTGTACCATCAACCACCACCACCACCACCTGTACCATCACCCACCACCACCACCACCACCTGTACCATCAACCACCACCACCACCACCACCACCACCATCATCAACCACCACCACCACCACCACCTGTACCATCACCCACCACCACCACCACCACCACCTGTACCATCACCACCACCACCACCACCACCTGTACCATCAACCACCATCCCCCACACTAAAACTTAAGACGTTGTTCCTCGATGATCCTGTATAATGTTATTATGAATCTTGATAATGTCATCAGTATTTTACCTTTGTTATGGTGTTAAAAGATATATTATCATTATTACGCTAACAAGACTCGGAGTTGATCTGGAGTCACACAGTAAATATGTTACCCTGTGTTTGTGTGTTTCGACAGGACCTTCCCTCTGGCGACGGGGGTGTCCCTCAGCTTCCTGACGGTGGTGTACGTCCTCACCAACGTGGCCTATTTCGCTGTCCTCTCCCCTCAAGATGTTATGTCCTCCACCGCTGTCGCTGTTGTAGGTTGTCATGTTGTTGTGGTTTGTTATTTTGTGTGTGATGACATTTTTATAGTTTCACACGCACTTTGACACACACACACAGGGTGGTGTAATGCGTCTTGTGTGGCAACATTATGTTTGTATTAAGGTGCAGGCACTGTTTGCTTCCTCTCGCTTTCAGCTACCGCCACTGGCTAGCCTTCCCCTGCCAGTACAAAACCTCTCCACCATCAAGACTCCTGCTGTGCCTCCTTGTGGTATCACACGGTAACTAGGCGCCTTGCGTCCTCAGGCTAGTCCAGCAGGAGATCTCGGAGCACCATTGGGCCCTAGAGGAATAGTGCACGGGCATGTGGTCACGCCCTGGCGCCTACCAACCACTGCCCTGCTGCCTTGCAAATAAACCTTGGACGGCATAAGGGTACGGGAGTAAATTCGAAACGAAAAATTAGTGGTGGGGCCCTGCATCAGGCAGACATGCTTCCAGAGCTCCAGTAAGACCCTAACGGAGGAATAGGCAGAAGAGGTGACCAATACGGAAACCCAATGATTACACCGGCGGATGAAGGCAGTGCAAGATGGACAGGCCACTAAGGCGAAACCCAACAAACTGATCTATCGGCAGTCCATTGCAACTCTCCCTCTCCCCAGTTGTGCAGCTACCTGCACCACTGGACCAGGAAAAGGAAGAGCCAAGACGTGTGGTAACAGCCTGCGGTCCTGCCTCACCACATAAATCAACTCGCGTCCATCCATCATCCAGCTCATCATATTTTTCATCATCAGAACCCAAAACCTCTACAAGTCCTATGGCAACAGAAGAGTGGCGACGGGAACGAGCAGGGAATGACTGCCGGGAGTCTCTAGTCATAACTCTGCACTTGGGAGACATAGATAAGATGGTCGTTTATGCTCTGGGATCCAGACAGCAATGCAATCCGGTCCTGTTTGTACGACTGAGCAGCCCTTTCCAGGAGCCACTGCTCACCCCACATGGGGAGAAGGCTAGGAAAGGTGCTCTAAACATAGCCTGCCTAAAAAACCAGCCTGACTGGGCATCCGCACCAAGTAAGGTCATCCTAATGCTGTCGAAAACATAATAACAAATCAAAGCAAACACAAACTAAACAACTTCTTCTGGTCGCTGCATGGAATGTCAGAACCCTTCTCGATACTAGCATAAATGAGCATCCAGAAAGAAGAACCGCCCTTGTGGCAACAAAGCTGTCTACAGTAGGTATAACATCGACATAACATCCAAGAGCGAGTCCAGGCCCCCAGACGAGGGTCGTCTTACAGAGCGGGGGTCTGGTTATACCTTCTTCTGAAAGAGTAAGCCTACTGCGGAGAGAAACGGCATTTATGAAGTTGGCTTTGGTATTTCCAATCCAGCCTAATATAGGCTAATTGAAATGCCTGTTGGGGTCAACGAGCGCCTCTTGACGCTCCGAGTCCCACTGAATCACTCGCGTCATGCCTTCTTCACCAATGCATACGCCCCAACACTGGATGCAGAGGATGACATAAAGGAGGCCGTTTACGTCGATCTTGACAGTGCTAACCTCTATCCCCAGAGAAGATAAGGTTGTGCTCCTTGGTGACTTTAATGCCAGAGTTGGCAGAGATGCTGACATATGGCAGGGAACCATAGGGAAAAACAGAGTGAGTAAATGTAATCCCAACAGCCTACTTCTCCTCCTCAGCAAGTGTGCTGCACACAACCTCACTATCACTAACACCTTGTTTAGAGTTAGCTGAGAAGACAAGGAAGAAATACCAGTATTCTTGATGACACCAGCTGTAGGAGCATCGAGCTTACCATTATCCATGCGCAACTACACTGGACTTGCCATGTTACCCTCATGGACGACAGTACTGTAGACTGCCATGGCAGCTACTTTCTCCCTAATGAATGGTAAATGTAACATTGACGGGCAACGGAAAGGTAAGGATAGTCTTAAGACAAACCCGAAAAAATGCCAAGTCGACCCCCCCACCTGGGAGAAGATCACTCCACACTGTAACGCTTGGAGGAGCACCACTCGAGGTGTCAATACTTCCGAGTTACCCCGACTGCATACCGAGGCAGACGAGCACCAACGCCGGAAAGATGCTGCTGCCGCCTCTCCCGCACTAGATGTAGCCCTCTGCATGTGCAACACCTTTGGACACCCTGCCGGTATACTGTTAAAAAAACTTGTAAAATTTACAGAGAATTCACTGGTTATATTGTTGCCAAACATTTTCTGTAAAATTTCAGAAGATTCTGTATATATTTTTACAGAAAATATCTGTTGAATTAACAGATTGTTTGTACAATTTACCATATCGGCCTCTCTAGTCACCTCAGAGCTCATCAACGGAGGTGACATCCTTAATAACTCATATCATTGTCTCATAGCTGAATGATCGTCATACTCGATTACAAGTTACAGCAAAGTAGTAGTGACGTGTGTGTGTGTGTGTGTGTGTGTGTGTGTGTGTGTGTGTGTGTGTGCCGTAGTTCCATGACCATGGAACCTAGAGACCTGGCTTTGCTTCCTAAGGGGACCCTGGGGGTGTGCACCTCGGAGATACTTTTAAGTTTGGCTCAGATAAATAAGAATTTTGGGGGAAGAGTACATGTCCCACCTAAAAGTATTAGGGTAGAACTGTAGATGATAGTGTAGTTGATGTAGTGTAGATGATAGTGTAGTCAGAGATAGGCTATGAGCTGTCCCTTAAAAACCAACGCAGCAAAACTGGGTCCCCTATCTAATTACTGTATAATATAGGTAATGCAACGAAATTACTGTTTATTTCCTAACCAATAACGACTCCTCACTGTACAAGTTCCATTGTTATTCTTACGTCCTTTTCCAACAACTTTTGATGTCCTGCAAGAGGTATAAAAAAATAATGGTATTTTACACAACTCTTTTTTTTTCTTTAGACCTTTTCGTCACTATCATTATCTTGTGTTACATCACAGACCTTCGGGCAGGCTGCCTTTGGGGTGATGGCGTGGGCGGTGCCTGTGTCGGTGGCTATTTCCACTCTGGCCTCTCTCTTGGCAGAGACCTTCGCCTGATCCGCATGGTGTTCGCAGGGGCCAGGCGAGGCCACCTACCCAAGACCCTTTCTCTCATCAACATCAAAAACTGCACTCCAGTCCCCTTTATCATCTTCATGGTAATCTACTCTTATAAAGATTCTCATAGTTTTGTCACTTCTGCTGTATCTAAACTGCCAAGATGTCACGTAATGATGTTCACAACGGGGAAATGAATAGACTCTGTAGAGAGATCCACGGAAATTAACTCTGAAGAGTAGTGAAGCTCTTGAGCGAAAAAAAAATCTTACCTCTACAAGATTACGTCCAAGAACCTGTTTACTCTTCCAGACGATCCTGACCCTGCTGTTGTTATTCTCGCCGGACGTTTACAGCCTAATCAACTTACTGGCCTTCAGCCACAGCTTCTCTCGTCTCTTTGGCACCATCGGTCTCCTCTGGCTTAGGTACAAGAGACCAGAGTGGAAGAGACCCTTTAAGGTGAGAGTCACGTGAGAGTCGTGGCAACAGTGGCCTGGGGATGAGTGTGTATACGTTAAGAGTTAAGGGAGATGTCGTACTTTACTGGGTGATGACACAGTGTGAGGTAATGTGTATGAGAGATGAGATAATTATTATCTTGGGTAGGAATTAAGTAATAGACAGCAGACGCCACGATAGAAATCCTTTAGAGAAGAGTTTTGGGAGGCGAGGTGTTTCCTGGGCGAGAAGCGTAGAGCAGAGTCCACTGGAAAGCTTCTGGATCATGGAGTAACAAAGTCCTGAAGTTTCTGATGGAGCTGGGCTCCAGGCTCACTGAAGTCACTGGAGACTTCAAGGCATCTAACTACATATTCCAACACCCCGGTAAAGCGATCCAGAGAGGGAATGTTTGCAGGCGCCCCTCACCAGAGTAGCTTAGGGAACCATAGATCTGTGATGGTTTATTTTAAAGTCATTAAACAGTAACTCTTTTCATGACAAATAAACATGTGTATAAATCATACAGGATATAAAATAAATCACAGTAAAAATGGGTCCCACAGGACTAGTGGGCCATAAGGGACGGTGAAGATACATTACACAGTTACTAAGGTTCGGTAAACAAGGATGCAGCGTGGCCGGTACTACACTTGGCAGCCCTCGCCTTCTCATCTGTAGAGTCAGGTTCTCATTTACAGCTGGGTGAACTGTCTTGTGTTAATATCTGAAGCTCAGATGATAATCCAACTCTAATTAATATTGTTGATAACAATTTACACAGTCTTCTAATGACCCGGTCAATACATTCTTGCAACAGATGTTTAACAGAGTGCATTAATTGTGTATCATGGTGCAAAACAACAATGTTATTAACCTATGTTATTGTGGGCAGGTGTGGCTGGTGCTGCCTGTGTTCTACTTGGTGTTGTCTGTGATGCTGGTGGTATTCCCGGTGGTGGAGGAGCCCGTCACGGTGGGTATAGCTCTCGGGGTCATCGCTCTGGGCGTCCTCGTTTATTTCCTCTTCATCTACCGAAAAATTGAATCCAGAACCTACAATAGTTTATCAGGTGCGTAAGTTTATACTTTCTCTACGCTACTCACTGATCCTTTCAAGAAATTATGACGTGAACAGGACTTGATGTATTGTATTTCAACCTTCTTGGCCTCGTGCAGTTGTAATGCTTTTTGTGTGTTACTGTTAGGAAGGTACTGTACAAGTATATAGTCAGCCAGCCAACCTCCAGAGTTCTGTTGAAATTTTGGTTTGTTGGCATCTCTTTGTTACACGCAAACCAACTAGCAAGATATCACGAGTGTAGTCATTCGCCTTTTTATAGACTGTCCCATACGTTTTAGTACAATCTGACAATGTATTAATTAATCACCAAGAGCATCAAATATAGTCCACTGGCTCATTCAGATCACAAATATACACTACAGATGAATGTATCATATAGCATAAATTTACAAATTCAGTTAGTTATGTTCTCATATGCTCATTCGTAGGGCCAGATTAGTTCTTTTGTTCTACTGTACAAAGGCTGGTCTGCAATAGCAGCAGTTTACTTTTGACCAAGATGGTGTGTGATATCCTGAAAACGATGGGGGACAGTTGTCACTGTGTTATCATAAGTACTGGCATCATGCCTTGTGTTGTTAATGGATGGATTAGCTACAGGCAAGCTTCATTAAGTGCAGCAGACCATGATGGGATCTTCTGCGCTTCATGGTTATATATTCGTGACAGTACCCAGGCCTGCGTTTTCTACATATTTAGTAATCTGCTGTCTTCCAGGTTCCATTTGTCCATATTGATATACCCGAAAATGCAGGCTTTGGCCGTAGTCCAGCAATATAAGTTAGGGAGTCTAGTTCTTGCAGTTTCTGGAGAAGCTTCGGGTCAGGTGTTCTGTCTCGATCAGTGCTGTGTGGTATATTAGACGGTGCAGGTCCTTGTTGCCACAGGTTCACGGAGTTGCATGAAATGTATTCTTCTCATCTAATGTTTCTTCAATGATGTAAATGTCGTTGGATGATGCCAAGACAATGCATCCAGGTTCATAATGAACCATTCCTCTGGGAATGTACACAAAGCCATTCGGCTCATATGGTCGTAGTCTGTCATTGGTGATCGACATGTCAATTCTACGAGCTGTATCGATTCCAATGATGTGCCCAGCAGCATGTAAAAGTTTCACTAAAGTCTCTGAGCGTGTAGCTTGGTAAGGGGCTAAACTTAGACCAATATGCTTTAGTGTCAGTTTCTTGCTCTTGGATGCTATTTAGATTGTAAGAGGGCAAACTTTCAATGTTTGAGGTTGCCACTTTATTTTAATTTATATAACCTTGGTTATATTTCTTTTATTCTTGTTTCCAAGTTTTTCTTTTCTTTAACTTCTAATTCATTTTCTCAAAATATTTACCGTATTTCTATCAGTGTCTCTTACTTATTTGTTTACTTCATCTTATTTACTTATAATCTCAAAGTTACTTAGTTATATTCGATTCTGAGGGTTAACCTGGGAAACCACATTCTTCTCTCTTCTTACACACACTCGTGTAATTGCTGTGCTTACATCTTACAGCTGCCACCACCCAGGCTTTCTTTAGAATATAACATTGTGGGGTACGAGATATTTGTTCAGGATGGGACGGAGAAATACAATGTGCTCTCTGTATGCATATTGTATTGGATGTACAATGCAGCTTGGTGCTGGGAAGGCAGCGTGGTTACAA